GCTCGGGGAACAGACAGACCGCCACATCATCCTATGCCAACACCGCAGAGCCAGATGGTCACTGCTGACGCAACAAGTCAGCACACACTCAAGGCATTTATCATTTTTTTCTGCACTTTACATTTTACGGCAAAACTCTGTGCACACACAAACTGTTTCTGCTACAGTTCTGTGAGTATGTCTCTGATGATGAATCGGCAACGGATTTCGAAACGTCAGGTGAATAAACATATTGTCCTAGCGATCGAGTCGTCTTCTACCTCTCACATGTTTTTTCCTCTTTGTCAACTGGAAGGCAAACATTTGTTCACCTGTTTTTTTCAGGGCGTCGTATGTGGGCCTGTAGTTCGTGCATTCCATTGTTGCAGGAGAGAGAGAGAGAGCGGGGGGGGGCGGGAGAAAGCAACTTCTCATGAGACGGCGGCCTTTCCAGCAGCAAGATATTTGCAAGAGAGAGAGGATGAAGAAAGACGGATGAGCTAAATTAAACATGCACATGGAGCAGAACTACGAGCGCCATGAGAACCTGCCAATTGAAGAGGTTAGGGCCTGCATGGACTTCTCGCTCATGGAATGTATTTTTTGTACATACTTCTTTATTGAAAAGTGTTATATGGACTCCTGCACAAAGTTAAGTGTATTATGTCCATCCATGTGATCTAAGGGCATAACTAATTAAAACCGAAAGGATTTCGTTTGATTTCAAGGGTAGGGACTTCATAATAATAAAGGGTTCCATATGGTCACATATGGTCAGTGATAATTGAGTTTGAATAGCATTGGAAAAGCAGTCATAAACGCAATGCTTTGTGTAGATTATGATAATATTTCTCGTGTCAAAGTTACGCGTGGTTTTTGCCGTCGGCGGGGTCTGTAGAGTTTCAGTGTCCGTGAAATGTTAGTGAATACTTTATGGCGTTCAGTGTTTTTAATCGCTTGCACACAAAGATACGTCCTGTGTGCTGTAATTAGAAAAATCACTTTCACCGATACCATAAATTGAAAACCTATTCTGCATGCAAAAGGGGCATTTTCCAGAAGAGACTAGACTAACAAGTAATCTACACAACGTGTGCGATGTCTAAAATTGATAACCTACTCTTAAGTTTTCCCGTTTCATGATTTTGGTAATTTACTGGGTATGTCTTTTGACATTGATGATTTTCAATTACTTCCTGGGACTCGTATGTTCGCTTGTATTGGTAATTCAAAACAACTTAACAATGATAGCTGTAGGCTATATATGTGCCGGGATTTATTAAATATCTTGACATATGCCACTGTAGCAGTCTTAATATCTTGGAGCACACCACCCTGAGTCCGTGTGCTGCCCATGCGGCGAATCATAAACAAAAGTATTCTAACCTACTGAAACAAATTAAGTAACAAGTAAGAGCATATATTTTGGGGGTAACTGCAAGGAAGTCCCAATGGGCATATTCAATCTGTTAACGGCACCATTTGTCAGACGAAATGAGTGTGTAAAGTGTAATTCACAGTTGGGATCGGTTATAACTTCCCTCTAGGGTCAGAGGTATATGGTCCTCAGTAATTTTGTTCGACAGCTGGCCGCCGTAAATAGTATGAAAATCTACAAGGAAATCTCAGATTCCAAAGAACCCTCCTTCAAAGTACTTTCAGATATTCTACCATCTGACTATCTCTAATGTAGATAGTATGACCAAATGAGTACTGCACTGCAATGTCGTATCTTTCCGTGCAATCTCCTGTGTAGTGGAGATGGAAAGGAGATCGAATAATTCTGCCTTCTCTGGATCGCACATGTTCTGTATTATCCAAAAATAGAACATGCATGCAAGCTATACACACAGAGTCCATCTTTCTCCTTTTTACCGGTAAAACACCGCCGCTCTCCATAAAGTATACCAGTGCCGTGTAGTAATCCTCCCGATCATTCTTGGTACGTCACCGATACTCTTCGTCCTCCAAAAATACCTGAAACTCACCGTCACAAGCAATACGTTTGTAGTTTCAGCTCTTCTATGCGGCCCTAAAACGTTCACTTTCCACACAACTCAGATAAGTAAATGGAGACTATAGAGGCTTGATATTTTGGTGCCCTAGATCGTTTATGAACCAGCTTTCGAAGGCGCGACGACCTGACGATATTTTTTATGCAGCGTTCAGTGGTCAAAATAGTTGGTGCGGGAAGTGCAGGATGCTTGGATTTTTCGCAAGGGTGAAGAAAGCCAAGGTTACGCGGACCGCAACGAATGAAAGAATCTCTTCGTTGCGATCAAGGTTGTCTATGGTCCCATAGTAAAAGGCACAACTCCTCTTCTCAGCGCTGATGAAACTACCCTATTCACTGAGAAGACACAGATTCTGCAACGCTGGTGTGAGCAATTCCCAAACGCACTCAACCGCCCCTACACCATCTCCGAAACCACCATTGACCGTCTGCCTCAGGTGGAAATCAAAGTCACAAAAGAAGCGGACATGTACAGAATACACTCTTCCTTTCACACTGCGTGTCCTTTTTTCTCTTCCCGCAAGGAACAGGACCTGAAGACCGCAGCGGCAAGGGTTTTCCCTTATAAATTTCACCCACTGGAATCCTGATATATATATATATATATATCAGTAAGGGG